GTTTGGGTGCATGTGTCAGCCCCTTATTCATGCTTGCAGTGACATGTTTATCGCCCGATTGTGAATCTTGCACGTGACAGCCTCCAGGCTCTCGACACATGTCCGATCTTTAGGTCACCATATGAGGCTAGGCTATATTGCTCGTTGGACTGTGACTGTCTTGTACCCGTGTGACTACTGCCGAGTGCACGCGAACGTGATTGCGTGAAACTGGCTGAACCAACACGCTGCACAACCACTGTGTGTGAATTCAGTGCCTAATTGCTTTCTACCTTCTGTACTTCTGTTGCACCTGAATTCCCCAGTCTACAGTTCTTTGTCTTTCCCACTTAGGGATATCCGTTACGTAGTGTTACTCCAATACACTTTCGTCGCTTGCAGACCACAAACAGAGATGAGACACTTATACTGATCACCGAACATACTGTGGAACTTGCAGCGTTCACATTTATCGTTCACGCGACTCTACTAGCTGATCCAGTCTTCATCGTCTCTCTTGGTCTTGGTAAGACATTTGTAACAAATGTTGGAAAGCGACCTCTGCTCTCCAGATATCTGAGACAAAATCACCACCACGCCATCGAACGGCAAATTAGTGCGCTTCTTTGTTAAGATGAAGTTTATGAACTTTTCATGCTCGGCCGCATGCAGTTTCCGTAACATGAGGCGAATATTGTCCTCCAAGATCTTGACCAAGTCAACACGAAACATGTCTTCGTATTTGTGGAACCACCATTCACAAGTAATGCCAGCATCGGCATCGTAACGGAACTCGCAGATTTGCTACATCGAGGTTTCTGGGGAAGAGACGCTTCCACTTGCCTCTGCTACCGAGCATGCTTGTACTGACAATTTCTTGGTCAACATGGCTTGTGCTTTCTCAAACTGCGCTTGCTGTTGCTGCAACAGAGTCCGCAATTGTTCAAAACTTATTGACATCTTTGGGTTCTTCTGACTTTCCGTCGCCACTATTGTACTGCTGCGCTGCTTCGCCTGTGAGATTGCGACCGTCTATCTGCACAACCACGCGTCCAACCAACCGGAGGAAACCAAGAACCCAAGGCTCGGTATATAGGGTATATTCTACAGAATAGGTCGTCTCTATTGATTGATGAACCATACATACTAATTTTGGAAAACATGGTCATCCAATCTTCGGCGCCTGGCACCCAAACAATGTGCGCGAATTCCGTTCGACTGATTTACCATATTTGGCAGGATCGCTCCCCTCCAACTCTTGACGCTGGTTTGAATTCGCTGGCCAATCAATTCGCGCCATATTTCCAAATTTGGCAGGATAGACGAACGTGCTTTCTCACCCGTGCGCATGGCCTTCACACGCAGTGGACTGATCACGTGCTCCCCGGCAAGGTGACGCGCACTGTAGCCACTGCGCGGGATCGTCGCCTTGTGCATGTACATTGACTTTGCTTGAGTCTACTATAGACTGCTTCGGAGTGCTTGGCTTGTGTAGTATTACAGCTCCTAACGGTTCGCTGATCGTCTATCCGTCCGCTTATCTCTAAACGAGTGTTTTACAATTTCCTTTTACTGGTTCGTAAGCGTATTTTTCATTTGTCCCTTCCTTAGTCATCTTGGCTCTCTGACAGATGATGGTGCTTTCTGGCCTCTTTTATGCATCTAGTGACACATCTCTCATTCATTCTATCCCTCTTCGTTCACAGACACCCGTGACTGGCAGTGATGGGAAGGTGACACACAAAATCACAGCATTCATTGTAGAACGAGGTTTTGGTGGCCTAACGAACGGCCAACCGGAAAAGAAAATGGGTATCAATGCCTCAAACACGACCACCATTTACCTGGATAACTGTAAGGTCAGTCAAATCGCATCGTCAGCTTCTGCATCTAAATTTGTTGCTTATGTAAACTTAGTATGTTGCCAAACTCTTCTCGTGGGCGCGGGCCCAATCAGTAGTTATACATCTTTGCGGAGATGTACGCTATCGGGCGCCTCCCCAGGTTGCGGATTGGGGAATACCTTTTTTGTGGGTGTAACTGCGAATATGTCTCGTCTGCTTTGCAGACGAGATGAATAAGCAGTCACGGACAATCAGCAGCAACGTCTCAGACCCTGGGGGTTCTGGGCTGGTCACCTGGTTCTCCATTAAATGCCACAAGTGCTCGTTTCAAGCCAATGTAACCGGCTATAAGGTCACTGACCACTCCCTTCTGTAACTGGAGGTGAGCATTTACCGGAGAGCGGATGAACAACCTTGCTGGTCGCCGGCTTCTTTGTGGACTGCGACCGAGCACAAAGAGGGCAAATGAGCCACCTGGTTGTCAACGGTCTTCGTATTCACCCCACTGTCTTGCGGATCAGGTCTTTAATATCAAAGGCTCGGGGTGGGTCGCTTAAGTCAATCCTCTTCCTCTGCCTGGGCAACCGGGAAGCCTTCTGCTCACACAACACATGGATCTTCGCATCCCTTCCCTTAACACTCTTCCTCCTTTTTGTTGTTACTCATGTGTTGTGGTACGCTGCCAAATATTTATTGGCCAAGTGTTATGTATATCCTTGCGAATATGTCCTTCGATTTGTTGACTTGTTAGACCTGCATTTCACCCTTCACTAATCTGGCATTGTTATTATTATTGTTATTGTTACAAAGCAAACTGGTGTCTGGTACTCATTTTAATTTCGATATGTGGTGATGCAACACGTCATCACTGGACCACTTTTTGCAACACAGCACTCATAGCTGCGGTCGTGATTCACCTTCGTCTTTTGAAAACCTGCCAAGTAGCCTATTAGTTCGTTGTACTTGTGCGGTTGAAGAAATCCATGCAACTCACTAGCTAGTTTCTGTGCTTATTGCCCCCTTTCAATCCGTTTCTGGCAGCCAATGGTTTTTCCATATGCTCTTTGGTGCGATATCTATTTGTTCCACCTGTCGTTTGAGGTGCAGATGATTTATGCGCCCCTGGTCCATGTGATGTGACGGCAGATATCCTACTCTTCCCAAGGCGATTGAACTGTTCGCTGAGCTCGGCAACTTTGTTGCGAACGTTTCTTCACCAATCGATGTGACATCATCAGTGCTCAGTGGAGTAGCGTGCAGTAGTGTAGAGTGTACTCTCATTGACGCTCCTCTACGCTACTGCACACTACTCCACTACGCACTGATGATGTCACCTCGATTGGTGAGGAAACGTTCGCAACAAAATTGGCAAGCTCAGCGAACAGTTCAACCGCCATGGGAACAACCTGAGCTATCACTCTTCAATGCTATATTCTGCTTCCCACTTAGACTACTCCACAGTCTTCTGCCGTGATCAGTAGTAACCTCAATACAGTCCACAAACTTACAACCTCATCCAGTCTCAGAACTACGCGCCCCATCTCGGAGCCACTAATCTCCTCGACCACGTGATTCTCTATATATCACCTCTTCCCACCTTAGCTTATATTGTGCTTATCAGCCAGTACCGTGTGACTAACTACCTGCTATATGTTATACTGAGCTTGCGCTGGCACAGGGTATCACAACTTTGCCTACATTCAAGCTGTCGACTAGTTGGTTATCTTACCTTTGCACGATAGGCAACTTTTTGTGACGATATATTGTTGACACAAAGTGTGATCCTGAATGTTTATTCGCAACGTTAATGTTTTACGCTAGGTTCTCTTCTCTCCCTCTTCTTATTCTTCGTTCTGTAAGTCATCATGGTTTTACGTACACCGAAGCATCAGTTTAAATGACCGGTGCGTTGTTGTTGTTGTTGTCGTCGTCGTCGTTGTTGTTGTTGTTGATGCTGATGATGATGATGATGATGGTGATGATCACGTAGAAGCAACTCCATATCTATTTCATACCCAGTTAACGCAGTTTCCATAACTTCGCTAATAGGAGACTTAGGAAGAAAAGGTGGCAGCCAGCGTTCTTGGCTCACATTGCTGAAGATTTTAAAAGGTAGAGACAGTTTGCCGTAAGCCTTGTCATGCTCGAACTACACACGTAAAACACTCTTAAAATATCTGCGGATTTCTTAGGTGTTTCTTTTGGAATCAGGCAGTCCGCCGAATGGAAGGTATCACTGATGTCCATGAACCCGACCACGATGGATCGCCAATACACGTGACCTTGATCTAACAGCTGAAGAACCGGTCGATTCAGCTTCGTCTTATGCGAAACGGATTGCTATTCACGAATCTGGCTTTCACGAAAGCTAGTCTTTCCATGAAGAACGACATAAATAAACAACTTGGGAGCTATGGGGACTAGCTTGAAACATGTATGATCAAAACGTCGCAAATGTGAACCCCTCTTAAAAATCGGAAAGATAACAGAACAGCTCCAGTCGGTAGGAACAGTTTCCTTCTCCCACAGTTTCACTTTTAAATTTTATAAGTCACCCACAGGTGCAAGTCCCCCTAATTTAAGGAAGTCTATCTGACCTTACTCCGGTCTCGCATTCGACTTCTGCGCGAGAGTTTGGATCCACAATGGCAGCTTATGGTGCAGATTGGTTACCAGCTGGCAACGAAGCTGGTAATTTGAGCTGATTGAATTGTTCTTCAAGGCGTTTAGCCCAATACTGCACGCGCTTTGACAAGTAGCGTACAGTATGTCTTCTCGTTGCAGAAGGCTATCGCAAGCAGCAGGAGTGGATACATTTGTCGGTTTGTGTGGTTCTTTGGCGGAGCACGGGCGCACTGTGTAACGCCACACTTAAGCACATTGATTTTGGTGAATACAGCTCACCGTACTAGAACCGCACAGAATGTCGTCTACGTGTATGTTTAGAATCATTACTCGACAACAAGCTTGTCATTAGTGCCGAAGTTAGGCAGTTTACTGTTTTCTCCACAACTACTGACCTGGAGTCTCATTACTTCAGTAATCGTCCATTTTTCTTCCAACTATATATCGCAGAGATAACAGTAGCCCAAAGCGACATCTCTTACATTATTTTTTAACTGTTTATTCATTTTTTCCTGCTCTTTACAATTGTCATCGCGTTTTCTTGGTTTCAAGGTTCCAGTCGAAAATGTTTTGGGCCCAGTTGGTGAAGGTTTCAAGATAGCCGTCAACATTCTCAACCAAGGACGTTTCTCCATGTCCGCTGTTCTCTCTGGAACCATGCGCGAGGTCATTAAACAGACTTTACAATATACGTCGCAACGAAAGCAATTCGGTCGCACCCTGAATGAATTTCAAAACGTTCAGGAAAAATTGACAAATATGGCCATTCGCCAATACGTCACGGAGGTTCGTACAAATGACTACTGGTTGCTGTTTTTGTGGTCTGTGGTTTTTAATGCGCCCGTTTCCGGCTGTATGTACCCGTTTACTCACTGGTTTTTTGTGATATCCTTTCGCGTCCGTCCGTCTAAAACACTTTGAACTGCTTACTGATGGAGGCATCCAATTCTGGTCTGCACTTCGCCTCAGGCAAATGGGCGGATACCTGCGCTTGCCTTCGCCATTGCTGGTGACGTTATGGAACAAGTTCTTTGATTCACCCATTTATGGAGTTGCATCACGGCTAGGGGCGGTGTTGGAGAAGTTTCACAACAAATCGCATAGGCTCATCTTTCTTTCACCAAACTGAGACACCTATGGCCTCGTCACGATGTCAACACCTCCTGTACGGTTGTGAAACTTGGACCATCAGGTCGGCAAACACAAAGAGACTAATGACATTCGCAGTTTGGTTCGTGTCCGTTGAGAACGTCGGCTGAACCATGAACACGTTCGTTGCAGGAAGAGCACGTGAACCGCTCAGCCCAATTATGTCACAAAACGGGCTCCGATAGCTTGGCCAGGTGTTGCGCATGCCAACGCACCGATTCCTGCGACGTGCATTGTTTGCGCGACCGGTGTCTGATCGGAAGTGGAGGAGGAGGAGGAGGGAAGGCCAGTCGATAACTTGGTCAAGAGAAATGTAAACTCCCACTTCGAACTTGTCGTCCGTTGGTGTCTGTCGACTGCCATGCTGGGGTCCAAATGACGATGAACACGTTAATAAGAATGGATATATTTCTCTTTAAATGAGAGGCTGCGCCCGTATTTGGCGCAGATCAAATATTTACAGGTAGTACCATGCTCTTGCATGGGCAATGTGAATTTATAGTGTATAGAAAACAAAAGTATATCTCTCGTCGGTGCTAGGTACGGCAAATCGCAAGGAGCAGGTTATATTTTTCGAATTTTCCAAAGCAGTCCTCAAACTTTTGGCGAACATGGCTATTTGGTCGGTTAAATATTTCGGAAGGATTGTGAGATTTTAAAAGATATAACAAGTGTAGATAAATAACACGTATAAGTGAAGTAATACGGCCATTACTGGGACCGCCTCCTGGGGACCTGCTTCTATGCGGGTTATTCTCTCGATACATTTCACCCGCACTTCCATGTCTCATCTGGCCGTGTGCCGGTGTAACTTTTAAACCATGTATAAGCCTTCACTTATGTAGCGCATTTTTAGGGCTGTTTTTTTGTGTATATAGTGTGGATAATCAAGCTACCTAGCCCGTAGCATCAGCTGTTTTTTGACTAAAGTACTTTTTCAGCGCTAGGGAACCAATGACAGTTCGCCTTGCATGGGTATAATTATTAGCGTTAGGCGCTTAAAATCCGTCACCTCAGAAGATCGACCCAGTCGTGGTCAACAGTGAGTTAAAGAAGAATATAAAATATGTGCGCAAGAGAGACCGGCGAAATTGTGCATGGGAAGTGTCAAAAGCGGATGACTGCTCGAAGTATCGATATGCTCAACAGTTCCGAAAAAGTTTCGGATTCATCATTTGCTTGCGTTCGAAAGTGCAGGAATTGATAGCGTTGAACAATGAGACTTGTTCTCTGATCCTGGACTATCGTCTCCGCGGCATTAAAATTAATATGTAACATTACAATATGAGTGTAAAAAGGTAGTTATAAAAAATGAATAGTTTATGTCTCGATAGTGCGGGACACGGACCGTGGGGTCAAACGGTCACATTTGTCATTACATCGTCAAGAAGAGTTTGCGTTCAATCCGATCGGGGCAGCCGTGGTGTGTAGGCAGTGATATCGACCGGTTTCAGTAATTGCTCTGGAAATTGTTCATTGATTCCTCCGGACAAGAAAGAGTTAGTTGGAATTGCGGAACAAGGTCGTTTTATAAATAAAAATGTTTTAGCGGTGGGTCGACTTCGAATCGAAGAATTTTGTCATTTACTATATAGCGCTCGGCCCTTCCTAATACAACGTATGTGTCTAGCATCTCCTTCACTTTATTCACTGTGCGTTGGATACACTTATTGACGTGGCGAAGAGCCAACCTCAGTGGCACTTGTGTTGTGAATTCCTTCGTCCCTCCCCTCTCGCTCAGATTTCCTCCCTAATCACCACCTCGCACTTGGCAAATAATAAGATACTTGGCATTATACTATCTTTTGTGATAGAGAAACAATTGTTGGTAGCTCAGGTTGTTCAGTTGGTGGTCTGAGTGTTCGCTGAGCTCGGCAGTTTGGCTGCAAACGTTTCGTCACCACCCGAGGTGACATCGTCAGTGCGAGTGTATTTAGCAGAACGGCGCGGTACAAAGCGTCAGTGAGTGTGTGAGTGATCGATCTTCTAGCCGCTAGTCTGAGTTTGGATTGTTCGACGAGCACATGACCATCGAAATCGGTCTCTGATTCTCGCCTCGTAGTATACACGCACTTGCCTCTACGGTTGTCGTCGTTTGATACAGTTGTCTGACATTCTGTTCCGTTAGATTTAATCTACTAATTCGGTGGTCTTTCATCCGCAGCGCTGTATATATAGCATCTATGAGGGTATGCGGGTGTTCTCCGAGCTGGCTGATTTGGCTGCAAACATTTCATCGCCAAATCAGCCAGCTCGGAGAACACCCGCATCCCGAGCTACAAATATTCTCACGGATTTCTAATATAGCATCTATTTCAACGCGTCGGTTTATTGAATTGTCTGTAAAATACCATGCTTCCAAGAACTCTCTAGATTGCCTTGAATTTCCACACGGTACGATCTTAACGTTCTCTGGGTCGAAGTGGTGGTCTTCTTGGTCTGTGTGCATGGAAGCCAGTGAATACGAGTTGTGTCTTCGTATGGCCATTATGTGTTCTTTGATCCGTGTTGAAAGTTTCCTCCCAGTTTGCCCGATGTTGTGTTTGTCACACTAGAATATCAATCACTCACACTCACTGACGCTTCGTACCGCGCCCCTCTGCTAACTAAACGCGCACTGACGATGTCACCTTGGGTGGTCACGAAACATTGTTTTTTTGTATGATGTATTGTCTATTATCTTATCTTTTTGTATTTCCACACGATAGCTGCGGTACGTTTATCACTCTCAGTAAGACCGGCTAGTTCTCCAGACTGGGGACCACGCCACTCTGAATCCCGGTGGTTTGGAACATTGACATCAATGACGCCAGTGTTTTACCGTGTCGTGTGCTATTTACTTTTCAATGGATAAAACACAAACTCGAAACGGCATTTGTGGAACATAACTCCTGCACTGCTTTGGATGGATTCCCGAAATTTCCGATCGATTTCGTGAGACACATGTGGAAACTTGCAGAAAGACGGAATGGCGTTGGCATTTGCTTTCCTCGTGGAATCGGTTCTCGGGACTATCCTCCTTGTGGTTGGACACCTTGTCGTATGGCGTTCAGCCACGAAGTCGGTGGTACTTTCAGTTTCTTTCTGTTGTTTCCGAATTTTTTACTCCTCCATTGAATAGTCGTTCTTTATTAATGTCTCCAGCTCGTGTACTTCATTTGTTGCTGTCGGAATGTCAATGACGCCACTGCATTCGTTTCCTTGCTCCTGACTTAATTATTTTCTCTTCCTTTCCTAACTTACCGTTTATTTTTATTGTTAACATCCGTATCGTTTTTAAAATGGGAGTAAATGCGTCTAAGCCCATCGCATGTCGACACGTAAATCGTTGTTAGTTATCGAACTGAACACGTATTTTGCCTTATCTATCTCAAATTCCTCATCGTCACCTGCTGCACCATGGGCGCACCGGATCTCCAAACTCGTCTCTTTGAACCACCCTCCATTCGCCCGGTTATACAAGGAGCAACTCAGCTTTGTTTTTTTCTCTTTACTGGAACTCCCCTCCCTAATCTCCACCGATCTTATAATGCGTGTCTATTTAGTACACACGAGGTATTTAGCGTAACAATGCATCCAGCACACACTAGTGTGTAGGTATGCGGGTACTCTTGTATCAGCGTGCTATGAGATCAATAGAAAGTATCGCTGGAGATAAACATTCGTTTAACTTTTCACTCTGTGCCGTGGTTTGCTCGTCACATGCATTGTTATAGATTGGGTTTTTGTAGTTTGACGTCATGTAGCACCCATCAGGCTTGTTTCGTCATGCTATTGACACCTACGGAGTCTCTGATGGTATGCGTTTCCTTATGCCGGATCGATATTCGGCTTGCGCTGTCACGGCTGCCACCTTGCAATTGCGTAACAACCATCTGACTGCAAGTGTGGGTGGGTGTAGTTCTCAGCGTGTACACGCCTTGACTTCCAGGGGTCGCTTACTATATGGGGTATTTTTTTACTATGTGCTTCCAATTCGTGTTCCTCTAATGGCATCCGAGCAGCAGTGCAAGTAATTGGCTAACAGACCATGACACAACTGTCGCATTCCTACTTTCGGTTTCTAATCGCCTAACTACCATCCATGTTCATCCTTCTGTTTTCTTACCTTCAGAATTCCGCAGCTTAACCAGCAAAGGGACTGTCCGTGGGTTTGAAATTCATAGTGAATGCTGTACGGAAGCAGCTGCATCTAAAATCCTTCAGACACAATGACCTGATATATTGGAGAGCATTCCCGATCTTTCATGTCCAGGAATTTCTTGAATTCCGACACCTACTTTACTTCGACTACGCTCGGCGGCAGATTGTTCCATACACTCATCACTCTCTTTTCGATGCCGAGTTAGTGAGCGACATGCTTCAACTCTAGTACCACAAGCTTGTATCGGTGTTCTCGTGTGCTGTTTGGTGTGCGCATATAGAGCGGCGGTCTCGACATGGGGTAATCACCAACATATACTGTCTGGGTGCGTCATAATGCAGTCAACCCGCACTTAACACTAAAGTCAAATTATGTTGTCCTGTCAACCCAGATCCCACATCACGTTGGGACCACTGTAAGCAACAAAATTTGCCTGGAAGGTTCGAGTGACGCGTTTCCACCGGGATCAAAGAAACATCAAATCCGGAACTGG